CTATAAAATTTACCATCTTAAACATTTTTAAGTGTATAGCTCAGTATTGTTAAGTATATTTACATTGTTGTGAAATAGATCTCCAGAACTTCATCTTGCAAATGTGAAATTCTAAACCCATTAAAAAACAATCTCTCTTTTGTTCCCAGATCCTGGTGACCATCATTTTACCTTCTGTTTTTATAATCTGACTATTCTAGTGCCTCATATAAGTAGAATCATACAATATTTGCCCTTTTATGACTGGTTTATTTCACTTAGCACAGTGTCCTCAAGGTTCATCCATGTTACAGCATGTGACAGGATTTCCTTCCTTTTTAAGACTGAATAATATTCTAATGTATGTGTGTGCCACATTCTGTTTATCCATTCATTTATCAATGGCTATTTAGGTTTCTTCATCTCTTGGCTATTGTGAATAATGTAGCTATAAACATGGCTGTGCAAATATCTCCTCAAGACTCTACTGTCATTTCCTTTGAATATATTCCCAGAAGTGGAATTGATGGATCATATGGTAATTATATTTTTAATTTTTTGAGGAACCTCTATACTGTTTTCCATAGTAGTTGCACCATGTTACAATCACACAAACAAGGCACAAGTGTTCCAGTTTCTCCATATCCTCACCAACACTTGTTAGTTTCTATTTTTTTTTTTGATAGTAGTCATATTGAGTGTGAGACAATATCTCACTATGGCTTATTTCTCTGATGATTAGTGATGTTGAGCATCTTTTCATATGCTCATTGGCTACTTACAAGTATCATCTTCCGAGAAATCTCTCTCCAAGTTCTTTGCCCAGAATGGGTAATTTCTTTTTAAGAATTTCAAACTTACAGAAAATTTGCCAGAATGAACAAAAAACACCCATATAACCTTTACCCAGATTGACCTACTATCCACATTTTGCTTGATTTGTTTTGTAATTTGTGTGCTCTCTTTACATATGTATTCCTTAACTCTTTGAGAGTAAGTTTCATGTACCCTTAAGTTTCACTCTCAAACACTCCAGCAATATCTTGTGAGTATAAGATCATTCTCCTATACAACTATTATACAGCCATCATCTTGGATTAATTATTTTTTATGATTCCATTTGACCTTCTTCATTGGATTTTTAGCTATAAATCTTTGGTTTATTATTTTAGTGGTTGCTTTAGGATATAGTGTACTTCTTTATCATAATCTACCTTCAAGTGATATTATACCATCTCAAGTACTGCATAAGAACCTTAACAATGACATACTTCCATGTTTCACTTTTGGCCTTTGAGCTACTGCTGTCACATTACCTTTACATATTTTATGTGTAATGGCATTATTATTTTTCACAATTTTCTTTAGAAAAGATTAACAATAAAGGAGAAATTCTTCCATATTTATTCATGTAATTACCACTGGTGCTCTTCACTCCCAGGTGTAGATCCATCTGGTATCACTTTCCATCTGAAGGACTTTAACAGTTCTTGTTGTGAAGTTCTGCTGGTAATGAATGCTTTCAGCTTCCATCTGAAGATGTCTATTTGTTTTTATTTTCTGCTGAGACCAACTCAGTCGGGGAGACCCTAACCCAGCAGTGCTAGAGGAATTAAAGACACACACACAGAAATATAGAGGTGTGGAGTGGAAAATCAGGGGTCTCACAGCCTTCAGAGTTGAGAGCCTCGAACAGAGATTTACCCACATATTTACTGACAGCAAGCCAGTGATAAGCATTGTTTCTATAGATTATAGATTAACTAAAAGTATTCCTTATAGGAAACAAAGGGATGGGCCAAAATAAAGGGATGGGTTTGGCTAGTTATCTGCAGCAGGAGCATGTCCTTAAGGCACAGATCGCTCATGCCATTGTTTGTGGTTTAAGAACACCTTTAAGCGATTTTCTGCCCTAGGTGGGCCAGGTGTTCCTTGCCCTCATTCTGGTAAACCCACAACCTTCCAGCATGGGCGTCATGGCCATCATGAACATGTCACAGTGTTGCAGAGATTTTGTTTATGGCCAGTTTTGGGAACAGTTTATGGCCAGATTTTGGAGGACAATTCCCAACAATTTTCAAAGGGCATTTTTACTAGGTATAGAATTCAAGGTTGACAGCTTTTTTTTCAGTACTTTAAAGATGTTCCACTGTCTTATCATTTGCATTGTTACTGATGAGAAATCAGCTGTTATTCTTCTTTGTTCCTCTGTATTTAAGCCTCTTTTCTCTGGCTGCTCTTATGATTTTTCTCTTTATTGATGATTTTTGACAATGTAATTCTGATGTGCCTTTGTGTAATTTTTTTTCAAATTTATACTCTCGTAGTTCTGGAGGCTAGAACTACCAACATCAAGGGTGCTGGTGGGGCTAGGCTCCCGCTGAAACCTCTAGGGTATGATCCTTCCTTGCCTCGTCCAGCTTCTGGTGGCACTTGGTATTCCTTGACTTTGGCAGCATAACTCCAACCTCTGCCACACTGCCATCTTCCCGTCTGTATCTGTGTTTTCACATGGTATTCTCCTCTCTTTGTGTTTCCCTTCTCTCTCATAAGGACACCAGTCATATTGTATTAAGGATTCATTTTACTCCAGGTTGGCCTCATCTTAATTTACGTTAGTTATATCGGCAAAGACCCTATTTCTAAATAAGGTCACATTCACAAGGGCCACAGGTTAGGGCTTCAACATATCCTTTTGTGAGGCACATTTCAACCCATAATATCTAAGAATACATTACCATACATCACAAAAGGGAGTTTTGTGGGTGTGATTAGGTTAAGGATCTTGAGATGGGAAGAGTATCCAGCCTTATCTAGTGAAACCAGTGTAATCACAAGGGTCCTTCTAAGAGGGAGGCAAGAGGTCAGAGTCTGAAAAGGAGATGTGACAGTAGAAAAAGAAATTAGAGTGATGCAGACACAAGCCAAGGATGGCATGCAGCCTTGAAAGGCTAGGATAGGCAAAGGACAGATTCTCCTCTAGAGCCTATAAAAGGAATGTAGCTATGCTGAACTTACATGCTGACTAGCTTGTAAGAACCATATCAGCCTTCTGAACTTCAGAACTATATGATAATGAATTTGTGTTGTTTTAAGTCACTACATTTTTGGTATAGCAACAACAGGAAACTAATACATGTGGGTTTATAGTCTGTATCAAATATGGAAATTTTTCAGCCATTATTTCTTCAAATACTTTCTATTCTTCTCTCTTTTCTCTTCTAATAATACTCCAATTTCATACATATGAGGCCTCCAAGTTGTCCCATAGCTCACTGATCCTCTGCTTATTTTTTAAAATTCTTTTTTCTCTGTGTGTTTCACTTTTGGTAGTTTCTATTGCTATGTCTTCAAATTCACTAATCTTTTCTTCTGCAATGTCTAATTGCCATTAATCTCATGTAACATATTTTTCACCTTTGACATTATAGCTTTCACCTCTAGCAGTTTGATGTGAACTTTTTTTTCTCTTTTTAATATCTTCCATGTCTCTATTTTTTAAACATGTGGAATATAGTTATAATGAATATCCTTGTTTACCAATTCTAACATCTGTATAAATTATAGGTTGACTTCAATTTTTTTCCTCATTGTGGGTTATATTTTCCTGATTTTTGCAAGCCTGGTAATTTTTTATTGGATTGTAGTCATTATAAACTGCACCATGTTTGTTACTGGACATTTCTGTATTCCTATAAATATTTTAAGCTTTATTCTGAGATACAGTTAAACTACAAAGAAACAGTTTGGTCCTTTTTGTTCTTGCTTTCAAGTCTTGTTAGGCAGGACTAGAGCAGTGTTTAGCCTAGGGCTATTTCCCTCCACTGAGACAAGACTTTTCTAAGTAATCTACCCAATGCTTCATGAATTGTAAGGTTTTCCAGTCTGACTGGTGGGAAGAGGCACTATTCCAGGCCCAGTGTGAGTACCAGCTGTCATTCTTTCTAACTCTTTTGGGTGGTTATTTCCCTAGCCTCTGTTCATTTCCTCATATGCATGGGCTAATGTCCACTGTCTTGAAAACTGTTACAGTCATGAGTGCTTAATGATAATGGAAATACCTTCTGAGAAATGAGCCATCAGGTGACTTCATCATTGTGTAAACATCATAGTGTACTTACACAAACCTAGACAATATAGCCTACTACATACCTAGTCTATGTGGTATAACCTATTGCTTCTAGGCTACAAACCTGTACAGTATGTCACCGTACTAAAGACTCCAGGCAATTGTAACACAATGGTAAGTATTTATGTATCTAAACATATCTAACATAGAAAAGGTACTATAAAAACACTTTATAAAGATAAAAAAGGGCAAACCTGTTAGGACACTTACCATGAATGGAAATTGCATGACAAGAAGTTTCTCTGGTTTAGTCAGTGAGTGGTGAGTAAACGTGAAGGCCTCAGACACTACTGTATACTACCATCGACTTTAGAAACACTGTGCACCAAGGCTACACTAAGTTTATTTTTTAAATAGTTTTCATTTTTAATAATAAATAAACCTTGGCTTGTTGTAACTTTATTTCATAAACTTTTAAATTTTTTTAACTTCTTTTGTATTAACATGTAGCTTAAAACACAAACATTGTGCCAGGCATGGTGGCTCATGCCTGTAATCCCAGCACTTTGGGAGGTTGAGGTGGGTGGATCAGCTGAGTTCAGGAGTTTAAGACCAGCCTGACCAACATGGAGAAATCCTGTCTCCACTAAAAATACAAAATTAGCCAGGCATGGTGGCACATGCCTGCAATCCCAGCTACTCGGGAGGCTGAGGCAGGAGAATCACTTAAACCTGCGAGGCAGAGGTTGCAGTGAGCCGAGATCGTGCCATTGTACTCCAGCCTGGGTGATAAGAGTGAAATTCCATCTCAAAAAAAAAAAAAGACCACAAATGTTGTATGGCTATACCAAAATATTTTCTTTCTTTATATTCTTATTTTATAAGCTTTATTTACTTTAAAATTTTGGTATTGTTTTTACTTTTTAAATTTTTTATTAAAAACTAAGACACAAACACACATTAGCCTAGGCCTACACAGGGTCAGGATTATCAATATAACAGTCTTCAAACTCCACATCTTGTCCCACTAGAAAGTCTTCAAGGACAATTAACATGCATGGAACTGTCATCTCCTATGATAACAATGCCTTCTTCTGGAACACCTTCTAAAGGATCAGCTGTTTTACAGTTAATGAGTATAATACAATAAACCAGTAACATAGTTTATTATCAAGTATTATGTATTCTACATAACTTTATGTGCTAGACTTTTATGCAACTGGTAGTGCAGTAAGTTTGTTTACATCAGCATCAACACAAACCTGTGAGTAATACATTGTACTATGACGTTATGAATGATGTCACCAGGTCATCGGAATTTTTCAGCTCTATTATATTCTATGAGACCACCATCATATATGTGGTCCATCATTGACTGAAATGTCATTATGTGGTTCACGACTGTATTTTATATATCATGTGTTTGTTTTAGGTAGAAGGATAAATCTAGTCTCTTTTTATACTATCTTGACAGAAGTAAAGCTAAACTTTTTTAGCATGAGAAGCTTTTTTTTCAAATAACTCCACTATTTGACACAGATAAAAAGCAAAGCTTCTGTGATTGAGAGTAAGGGAAGGGATTGCTAGCTTGAGGAGACCTGCCTATGTAGCTGTTTCTTTGACGCACTCAGTAATTCCTAAGGGTTCTCCCCTGATCCTTAGAGATTCACAGGGCCCAATTTGAAAACCACTATATCTAGTCAAATCCCTCCTTTTTGATATTTGATAAAACTGAGAACCAGAGTGGTTATATAACTTGCCCAAGGTCACACGGTTAAAACCTAGATTGTAAGATGAAAGGGAGTAATGACTGCACACAAGTAAAGACCTCAAGAATGGCAGCAATTATTACTAGGTCTGTCCTTGTATTTTAAATTTCTAAAAGTCTGTGATAGTAACAGGAGAAGAGAGAAAAACTGTGTTTTTATAGAAAGGATCTGGCAATAAAGGACTCAGTTACACCTTCCCTTATAAGCCAGGGTCATTTCCTGAGGCCCCATCTCCTGAGGAAGGTCCTCATGTTCCCAACTCAGCTCCCAGGCAAAACTTACATAAGTGCCTCAGGGCTGAAGACTAGAACCCAGGTTCCTGAATTACAGGCAAGTGTCTAATCCACTGCACCCCATCACCTCCCTTCATTGGTAAAATTCAAAAATCCAGTGAAACATTATTCTTTGCTAACCACCAAATATTGTAAAAAGATTCACCTGGAACTGTGTATTTGCAATTTTGGCAAAATTTCCTGGGAGCACAGAAAGAGGTCTCAATCTCTCACTAAAACAGCACAGATTCCACATTGCCTGGAACTTCGTGTAGTGGAGTGTGGTGTGGTGGTGTTTAGGAAGCAAGCTAGAAAGAAGAGATTGATCAAATAGGAGTCTAGGCTCCCACTGAAAACCACAAAACAGGAAGGACATGGGTGCCAAGAGTGTCTAACTCAGATGCTGACACACTGGATGAGTCTGGATTTGCCACTCAAAGAATCTCAAACTCCTTGAATTAAGTAGTATTCATAGAACTTGTTCCTGCTTGCTTTCTAGAGAATCTGCGAGCTATAACCATATTTAAAAGCAATTTGTAAATTACTAAGAGCTCCTTGGAGATAGGATGATATATAAATATATGTATTACTGTTATGTTAACCACACTTAAGTATGGCTAACCATACTTAAGAATGCTAACCATACTTAAATATTTACAATATTACTTTAAGAGAGATTATCTGCAAAATTCTTAGTGTCTTCTCCAATTAATTTTCCAAACTATAGAGAAGTTAATTACCCTGTGGTCTTGATATATTTCAATCTACTAGAGTTCAAAACTTGTTATACATTTAGAACTATTTTCATATCAGTGAGAACTGAAAGAATTTCAACATAACATCGCTATTCTTACACCATCACATCACAGCATGTCCTCAGAGGCAACACCAATAAGGAGAATTAAGTATCTTTCCTGAGGATTCAGTCTTGTCATTTTGCCTAATTCTAGAAGAAAAAATTACCAATTAGTTTGATTCATATTTTTGATCCAATTGGTATATATATACACACACATATATGTGTATACACACACACACACACACACACACACACACACACACATATTTGCAAGTTCAGCCCTCAAAAGATGGTTCATTTTGCCTAAAGCTACCCTTTCAGATTAGGACAGCAAGATGTCATCAGATGAGTGGTAGCTTCGTGATTTGAACTGCAAGGCTGCTGTGCGTGGCTGCAGAGGTAGAAATGAGTCCTTGAAAATTGCGCTGTGTACACCCTGCTCCACAATACATGGTTGCCTTTATTCTACTTTAATACTAGAAGAAAACAATGAATCAGGAAAGGGAATATGGAAATTGAGCACATATGGGAATATAAAGAAACCAGACAACAGAATGCCTCCAAAATATATGTCTATACAGAAACAAATCTGTTATATATTCTAAATTTGTGTATCTACATACCAAATAGATTACATTTACCTATATAAACATATTACATTTACCCATATTAATAATAAATATTTAACACAAACACATTATATGGGTAAATTTATTGAACCCCTAGTACTAGTCATATAATAGACAATCCATAAATATTTCAAATACATGAATGAAAATATACGTACTCTCATAGCTGCATGCTGTGGCAATTAAATTAAGATGAACTGCTGCTAATTTTCATCAGGTTGAACATGGACTTTTGTTAATTTTCATCCAGTCAGAAATGCCCGGCAGGTTCAGAAGACTCCAGAAGAACCCATAACCTAGAGTCACAAGCATAGGTGTGACCTAAGTGTTTTCTAACCAGGACAAATCAACTGAATTCCCTATGACATGTATCTGAAACTATTTAATTCTAAAAAGTCTGTTCCTGAAACTCAAAGACAATTGTTTTGCTTTGTCCCCATTGTTACAGGTAAGATCACGTTCTAAGAATGGTCATTACGGAATGGAGGAATGAATTATTTGTCTAAGAATCAGAAGGAAGAACTGCTTTTCCCACCCAGCTTTGGAACTAACAAGCTGATGACAGTCCAGTCCCTTCTCTGCAGACCTTAACTGCTTAATCTGTAAACTACATAGTTGGATTTCACAATCCACAAGGTTCCTTCAAGCTATGCAGAAATTTATTTATTGTATCATAAATAATATTTATTATTTATTTAGATTTGACCCTGACTGTCAAATCAGTAAGGTTAATAAAATTAAAAATTGTGACCAAAAGAAAATATGTTAAAAAGAAGTGTTAACATACTTGCCAATTAAATTTTATATTTAGTTCTGAGCAATCAGGGAAAAGTGAGAAATGTAAGTTTCACTACTTTCATTTTTGGAAAGGGAGAAGCTTTCCTTTTTCTTGACGAATGACCTTCTGTGGTACTAATCCGTGCCCTAATTGAGAAGATAAAATGTGACCCCAGCTTCACAGGATCATTCCCAGGCAAGAAACCCCCCCTCATACTTCTAGGTAAAGACTAAACATTCAGGTGGCGCCATTTTTCGTAGGTAGTGTAATGTCATCATGAGGTCACCGGGTACCACACAACTGAGGAAATCAGAACCCAGAGACATTAAGTAATATTTCAGAGGCCACCCAGGTAGCCATGAACTGCAGAGAGATTAAATACTCAAGAGTTCCTGACCTGGAGGTCAGCGCGTGGTTTTAGGTAACACGCCCCGGGACAGACGCGGCCCTCTGTGCATGTGCGCAGAGCTGAGTGTCCTCGGAATGTGACACGAGCTGCACAAAGCGCAAAAGAAGCTGAAAGGCAGCGATGCCCTGGGGTCTTCTGGGGCATGTGGGTGTTCCTTTCACTCCGCCCCATTCCTTTCACCACAGCTCAGTTTGAACTTGATGAATTAAGTGTGAAGTTTCCTTCCACTTCAGTGTGGAGCGCTCTTCCAGGCTGGGCGCCCGCGGTCCGGAAACATCAGCGCGTCTACAAGATGGCGCTGGGTGTGTGGAAGAGTCGCACTGGAGACGTTGAGCTAAGAAACCACAGCAGGTTAAGGACTGGGAAAACATCTGGCTCCAATGGAGACAGCGATGGCCTCCCACGAGCCCAGACACAACACAGGGCTGTCAGTTCCCCCTCTGAAGGCATTCTATCGCCCCCAGGAGGAGCCTCCAGGGACTGAGGTCACCAAAACACATATTAAGAATACATTTTGACAGCAATTTGTAGGAACAGGTCCCTCATTTCCTGGTCTGAGGAGAGTCTTGAGGCTCTTTGCTGCAAGAATGAATTCGGGGGCCCTTCCTCTGATGTCCTGAGGGGGAGTGTGGGGGGAGTCTGAGAAAGGTGATGGAACACATGTTCCAGAGAAAATCTGGGAATAGTACACCACCCAGAAGAGCGATTTTTGTTTTAAAAACACAAAATAACTTGCCAGTCAGTGCTCCCTACTCCCACCCAAGTCTTTTCCCTATTCACCAGCATGAACAAGACTTCCAATAAGCATCCAAAAATCATCACTTTACTTTTGCAATATCTGCACAGGGTTTTAGAAATGAAAGAATCCTGAGCTGGGCATGGTGGCTCACGTCTGTAATCCCAACTACTCCAAAGCTGAGGCAGGAGTATCGCCTGAACCCGACAGTTCAAGACTAGCCTGGGCAACATAGCAAGACCCTCCCCCGTTTCAAAAAAGCAAAGAAATCTTAAGAACCATTTATGCACTTTGGGAGCCCAAGGCTGGCAGATCACTTGAGGTCAGGAATTCCAGACCAGCCTGGCCAATTTGGTGAAACAGGGTCTCTACTAAAAATATAAAAATTAGCCAGGTATGGTGGTGTGTGCCCATTATCCCAGCTACTTGGGAGGCTGAGGCAGGAGAATCGCTTGAACCCGGGAGGTGGAGGTTGCAGTGAGCAGAGACTGTGCCACTGCACTCCAGCCTGGGTGACAGAGGGAGACTCCATTTCAAAATAACAAAAGAACCATTTATGGCCAGTAGAGTAGCAAAATGATTATGCCACAGCTAGTTAGTGGAAACTCTGGGAATAGGCCTTAGCTAACCCAGCTCCTAACTGGGGCTCTTTCCTTTTATTCATCTTTTTTCAACAAACATTTATTGCATGCCTACAAAGGCAAGAGAAAACATGGCCAACCATGCAAGGCTTTGAAAACTTTTGGCTCAGAAGTGACACATATCCTTTCTGCTCACATTTTATTAGACAACCAAGCAAGTCATTGTCCATGCCCAATTTCAACAGGCAGGGATAGATTATCTTCCCATGGAAGAGGCAAAGTATTTGTGAACAGTAAGACAGTCTTCCACAAAAGCCCAGGGTCTAGGACAAGGGTTGGTTTCCCTATATTAGCTAAGAAGTTAGGAGCTCAGCAGACGAATCAGCCAATAAAAGGAGACAACCACAGTTCCTCATTCCTCAACCAAAACTAGAGACATCCAAGAGACATGGACACTGATGAGGAGCATAGGCTAGAAGCACTATTTGGAAGTTCTTTGGGGGAGAAAATAGTTTTTTCCATCCCTGGGAAGTCAAGGACATATATTCATGAGCTCCTTTTAACAAATGACCTAAAATTTTCCATATATACACAAATATTTGACCAGATGGGTCTCAGGTCCTGAAGATGAAACACATCACCAAGATGGCGTCTGTTCTTGGCTCCTTCCAGCATTCCAGACCCTGAAACCAGATGATCTTTTTAAAACAAAAATCTGGTTGTGTTTTCCACTCTTCTTCTACCTTCCCAGGTACAACTTTCCATTGCTTAAAACATATCAATGGCTTTCTGTTGTTTTCACTCTGAAGCTTAAAATCCTAACTAATGGCTCCAGGCTCTCTCTGTTCCATGTACACAGACCTGCTTTTAGTTATTTAGGATCTCTATGCTTCTTCCTATCCACAGAGCCATTCCACATGCTATTCCTGCTATCTAGAATGCTTTTCCTTAACCCCTTCATCCAGGTAATTCCTTCTGTCTTTAGATCTTGGCTTATTGCTATTGCCTTAAGAAAGTTTTCCCTGACCTCACCAACGCAATCTCTCTCGATTACTCATACATCAAGTATTTATTGAATACCTACTAAGTTCCAGGCATTGACCTAGTTGGTAGGAACATAAAGGCAATGAGACAATTGACATGCCAGGGAGGGACAAAAAATAAACAATAAAAATACCTTTGTCAGGTATGACAGGTGCTATGAACAAGAAATGAACAAAGTAAAGGGTGAAAGGGCCAAGCGCTATTTTAGATAAAGTGGTCAAAGTTAAGTGGTTTCTGAAGCTCCTCTGAAGAGGGGACCATGTAACTACACCCTAAATACAGAGAAAAACCAAGCTCTGCTACCTGTAAGAAAAATTTTCCTGATAGAGGGAATGACAATTCCCAATGCCCTGAAGACAGGGTGTTGGAAGAATAGCCAATGTATTGTGACTTATTTCAGTACTTTGTAGCTTATCATAGCATTATCACTATATGATTTAAAAATTCATTTCTGTTACTTGATTAATGTTCATTGCTCCTCTAGACTATTACTTCAAAAGGCATAAAGGCAGGAGCTGTATCCACTTTTTGCTCATCATTGGACATTGAATCTCCTATGTTGTGCCTGGCACCTAGCACACAGTAGGTCCTTAATAAACATTTGTAGAATGGTGAAGAAATGATGGCTAAATCAATGAATGATAAAGCAGATCCCCAAATGACTACAATCTTAGGTGTTTTCTCTGCCCCACTCATATACATTCAGAACTCTCCTCTAAATGCCAAGAGCTGTTTTCCTGAAAATCTTGACCTGAATACTTTTCTTCTGATGAAGATAGCATGCCTGGTCAATGAATTCCAGAGGGTCAGTGCCCCCAAGAAATAGCGTGCTACCAGTGGCAGACAGGGAGTCAGAGGATAAATATGCCCCAGCATCCTTGTCCCTTAAATGGGATAACTCTAAGGCAGTGGTTTCTCAGTCCTTCACAAATGATTCCCCCAGGGGACATTTGACAATGTTCAGAGACCTTTTAGGTTGTCACAACAGGTGGGAGGAGGGGTGGGGAGGAGATGCGACTTGCATCTAATGGGTACAGTTCCAGATGCTACTAACCATCTGACAGCACAAAGGACAATCCCCTAAACCAATTATCCAGCCCCAGATATCAACAGTGCCAAGTTTGTGAAACCCTGCTCTAAGGTATCTGTTCTACATGGTCTCCTTAAATTCCCTAGCAGAACCGAGGTCCAGTTGCCCATGGTGGTGACTGGTTTGATAACACATCATTTATTGGTTTCCTCCCTCCTCTTCCCTGTCTCACTTCCCAGGTGGTGTTTCCTAGGATCACCTACCAAATAAACGACTTTCCCTCAATTCCTCATTTCAGATTCTGCTTCGAGGGAAATCTAAACCACAAAATATCCCTCAAATCTTATATTTCTCAGCGACTAGTCTCTCCAACTCTTGGCCTGGCTGTGTAATAAACTACGGGACTGGCCTAGGAGACCCCAAGGAGTAAGCAGTTAACACTGGCATCTGAAACTGGCTCGTGAGCTACAGCTCTTAAGGAAAGGCTGTACCACCTGAAAAAGTGTCTGGTTTGGGGAAAAGAAGCTTACTTCCCACTGGTACCCTTGGAGAGTCATTCAATTTGGAATAGAGACAGGAGAAAGAATGGCAAGGTTGGAAATGGAAAACCTGTTCAAATCCCACCTCTGTTGCTAACTGGATCCTTTTTCCTGGTCAAGTCTCTAACTTGTTGTATACTCCATTTTCCCATATTTCAAATGAGTTTGTTGGGTTGGAAGATCGCTGAGGACTCTTGGAGGCCTACCATTCTAGAATTATAAGAAGAAAACACTCACCTTCCATGTCCCCTCCACCATAACCCAAGCATTGTCTTCTTTGTTCAGAGGCCTCTTCTCCTGGGGCCACCTGGGACTCCTCCACCCCCGAACTGACACACCTCCCACCATAGCACTTCATGGCAGGTCTCTCTTCTCTGTCTGCCTCTGTTAACACTTACATGATCCACATGCTTGCAGCTCAGTTCAACTCTTAAAAATCATCTCGTCTCTGGGCTTTCATTTCCTAGAGACAAAGGTATGAAGAAGTTGGCTCTCTTTCTCAAGATTGCAAAGTTGCAAAACCCAGCTCCAAGTCCATGACCTTCCCACCCACCACACTTGAACAGGTGGACAAATACACCTCAGCATGCACTGGCTATATACTGGGTATGGATTTCAAGTGCAAAGGAAAAAGAAAAAATTTAACTCTTTCTCCTATTTAACAAAAATAATTAAGAAATGGAATGTTCTGATTGAAAATTACCAAGCATATGATGTATGGATGATCAATTTTTGAAGAAGTGGAAACAATTAGAAATTAGAAAACAGAAGCCCACATCCTTTGAAACCCATCCTGCAGGTAAGTGAATACTTTCTTCATGGTGCCTAAGGCATTTTGGAATGGCAAAGATAACAAGAATACCTGGCATTGGTTTATCTCCATGTCATTTGCTGTTCCGGTTTATTTTCAAAGGTTTGTGTAGCAATCAAAAGAACTAGGCAATAATTTAAGTGAGGCTGAAAGCATCAGCCAAGGGTGTGGAATTTGGGAAAATAGATTATTGCTGTGCCTCTTCCTGATAAGAAAATAAGGATGATTGTTTGCCTTTTATTTGTTTTTGACAAAACAGAGTTTTTTAATAAGTGAACATACATCAAAGGTAAATATGGTTTTATAAAGAAGTTCTGAATATTTTATTATTAAAGTAACAAACTCATTTAACTAATTTAAAAATTCTAAAGTTATAAACAGTAAGTAAAACAAATAGCATGAAAATAAAATTATAATTGCCTTTAATTTCACACTTAGAGACCACCATTATTTGTTTCATGTATTGCTATCTAATATTTTCAGACTTTTTTTTTTTTTGAGGCAGAGTCTCGCTCTGTCACCAGGGTGGAGTGCAGTGGCATCATCTCGGCTCACTGCAACCTCCACCTCCCAGGTTCAAGTGATTCTCCTGTCTCAGCCTCCTGAGTAGTTGGGACTACAGGCACACACCATCACACCCGGCTAATTTCTGTACTTTCAGTAGAGATGGGGTTTCACCATGTTGGCCAGGATGGTCTCCATCTCTTGACCTTGTGCTCTGCCCACCTCGGCCTCCCAAAGTGCTGGGATTACAGGCATGAGCCACCATGCCCGATCCAGACATTTTTAACAAAAATAAAATTCATATTGCCTAATATGTGTACAATTCTCATATCTTTCCATTTCACTTTTCACTGTGTCATGAACATTTAAGCATGGGTTCTGATTTTTTAACAATTGTGTAATATTCCATTTATCTATCAGTCAGTGAAAAACAGATTTAACCAAGCCCTCATTGCTGGGTACTTAGGTTGAATCCAATTTCTGTCTCCCACCGAAATCTCTGAATCTCCGCTAGACTCCAAAAAACAAAATCACTGAGTCGAAGGATATAAACATTATTTAAGGTTTAGAGAAGGTTTTAAAGCAATGAAGGCAAGGAAATATTTAGTACTTGTTTCATTTATTCCTAACTTGCCTAACAAAGATTAATGACCCTGGCCTTATCCACAGATTTGACTATAATTTTTCATTTTCACCTTGAGACCTGATTTTGGAATTATCTCTTTAGACACTGGCTCTTTAGGCAGAGTCTAGCATCAAAGTTTTTAGAGGATGATGTTTTCTGGGGTACTGGAAATATTCTACTTCTTTATCTGGATGGGGGTTACATAGATATATTCAGTTTGTGAAGATTCATTGAACTGTACACTTATGATTTATGCACTTTTCTGTATGTTTGCTTCACTTAATAAAAATTATGCTTACAAAAATAGTGCTTCATTAAATCATGAAATGTAAATTTCCTCAAGTAAGCCCTAAACAGCCATGAAGTCCTTGTGGTTTTGGAGATCAAATAATATGAGTATTTGAAACCACTAGATGTTTTACAAATAATTGTTATCATCATCATCTGAATGAAGTCATTCTTGCTAAATATATGATAAGGTAACACTCTCAGAAGGCATTTTTATTTTACAATCCAATTAATTCTGAAATTGGTGAGTTGACAGGTATGGAGAGGGAGTCTTTGGATAGGCAGTTTTTTCCCATGCATACTTCCTCTGATTCCCTCACCCAGGGAGTAAGGTACATGTAGCATGGGTAGTCAGGCCACTCAGACTCTAATTTTAGAATCTAGGATTCCCAATTAAAGATTACCCAGGACACACCATTCAGCAAGTTCATCAATATCCAGGCTCAGGTTCTCATCTAAGAAATGTGGCTTGGTTCTCTCTGGATAAGGCCAACACGTACAGCTGGGAGGGCTGTTCGCTGCACGAGGACACCTGGCTAAGGTATTTTAGGGGGATGATGTCCAGGGCTCGCCAAGTCATACATCCTGGCTGGGGATTAATCCACTCAGAAGAAGGGGGGCCTTTTAAAAATATAGACAAAGATGCCAAATGGAGCTCCCATGCTCCATCTCTCCCACTTTTAGGCCAAGCTCCATGGATTAACTAGGCTGATCCACCATGACAGTGGGCATTATTTAGGCAAGAAGTCATCATCAGGCAGGGTATGCTCCCACAACTGCACAACATGGGTTTGCCTTTAGTTCTAAAACAGACCCTGTCAGCCCTCTGCTCTGGATGAAATCCCCAGAAACTCCTGGGCTCCTGACACCTGTGATGGCTCATTCATTTGTGAAAGTGGCTGAGCTATGGTGCCCAATTATTTGGTCAACCACTAATCTAAATGTTGCTGTGAAGGTATTTGGTAGACATAATTAACATTTACAATCAATAGACTTTAAGTGAAGTAGATTACCCTTCATTATGATTGCACCTTATCTAATAAGCTGAAGGATTTAAGAGCAAAGACTCAAGTTCCTCAAAGAAGAAATTCTGACTCAAAACTTCAACATGGAAACCCTGCCTGAGATTCCAGCCTGCTGGCCTGCCCTACAGGTTTCAAAGTTGCTGGCCACCATGATATCATGAGCCAATTCCTTAATAAATCTCTTCTGTCTCTTTCTCTCTCTCCTTTTTTTTTTTTTCCTAGATGGAGGAGTCTCGCTCTTGTTGCCCAGGCTAGAGTGCAGTGGCACGATCTCGGTTCACTGCAACGTCTACCTCCCAGGTTCAAGTGATTCTCCTGCCTCCTGAGTAGCTGGGATTACAGACACCCACCACCATGCCCAATTTTTGTACTTTTAGTAGAGACAGGTTTTCACCATGTTGGCCAGGCTGGTCTCGAATTCCTGACCTCAGGTGATCCATCTGCCTCAGCCTCCCAAAGTGATGGGATTACAGGTGTGAGCCACCATGGCCAGCCTCTCTCCTCTCTGTCTCTGTGTGTGTGTGTGTGTGTGTGTGTGTGTGTGTGTGTGTGTGTAGGTGTACATGGAGAGATACATATATATCCCACTATGTATACATATTATACCCTATCGATGTATATATACATAGATATATTCTGGACTCTGTTCTCATCTGAGAACTGCAGCCCCTGCAGTGGAACAGAAGTTGATGAGAAGCTTCTGGATTCTCATGAGGCCTTGCACTGGAAGAAGCATCCAGGAACACAGTGGTTCAAGCCAATCCTAAAAAGCAAAAACCTACAAATGCAGAAATCCCATTTAGCCCTCATTTTAGAAGTCTTTGTAAAGCTTCTACTTACAAATACATGCTCATAGCAGACAATTTTAAGAAAATAATTAAACAGGATAAGATTTCAGGTGTCAGGATCTTAAAGTGACTTCAAGTTTTCATCATTTAGAATGGGCTTTTCCATGCATGATTTCACTTGGTCTGGCCGTACCTCTCATGGAATCCAATTCCATTAAATTCTGGACACGTGAAATAAATGGCATGAAACATGGGAAGAGCCAGGTTGTGTTCTACCACTGAAGCCCATATGACTGCAGAGGAATTTTTCTAGGTCCCTTGGGCATTCTGTTTTTTAAATAAACTATGTCATTCAACTGATATTAAAAGCAAAGTGAATGTCTAAAAGTAGTTCAAACAAGGACATCTCCCCTGGATTTTCATGAGCAGACCCCAAGTCTGAAATGACATATAATGTCTACTAAAAAAAAAAAAATCTACTTAGAAATTGCAATCAATCATTTTCTTTCCCCCCCTCCTTATTTTCCTTTATCTCTTTGGTAGATTAATCTGAAGAACTTGGCCCAATCACCTCTTTTCCTGTGTGCACACACCCTTTAGACACCTACAAGCAGATCACTATCACCCTGGGAATGATCATGGACTGAACACCATTTTCCCCTTCACCAGCTTTGCACTTTCTCATTTGGAAGCCTCTGGCTGTCAGTCAGTCTACATCTTGCTCATGTTTTTTTGTTTGTTTGTTTTGTTTTGTTTTGTTTTTTGGCACTATTTCCTTTCAGGTCTGCCTTTCTTCTGTCAGAATTCCTCTGACTAGGACATAGTTGCCTTCTAGCTTTTTCCACCTTCAGCAGGTAGTGTTCACTGGAAGGAAAAATTCTTAATAAGTGTTGGTAGAGTAGCCCCAGTCATCTGCTATGTGTGCCAATGATGATGAAAATAAGGGGGAGAGGGGTAAGAGAAAGAAGAGGTGGAGAAAGTTGAGATGAAGCAAAGATACTTGCAAATTTCTTGCAGATAGGATCTGAGTCTTGCTCATCTTCAAATCCTTACCACTTAACATCTATGTGCCTAGCACATAGCAAGTGCTTACTCAATGGCTGGAGAATCAAATAATAGAAAAAAAGAATGAATAGACATGGAAAAGAACAAAGTCTGTAGGGAGGAAGACAGGGAGGGAAAGAAAAGAAGGAAGGAAGGAAGGAAGGAAGGAAGGAAGGAAGGAAGGAAGGAAGGAAGGAAGGAAGGAAGGAAGGAAGGAAGGAAGGAAGGAAAGGAGGGAGGGAGGGAGGGAGGGAGGCAGGGAGGGAGGTGGGCAGGGAGGGAGGGAGAGAGGGAAAGAAATAAAGAAGGAAGAAAATAGGTGACGATTCCTGGCAGTATAAGAAAACTAAATAAGGCTGGGCACGGTGGCCATGCCGG